ATTCATGTCATCACCAAAGTAGTAGTCGGTAATAGTGACCCCCTATGTCCCTACGGGTCCATACATGATTACAGTAGTCTGTGACATACCCAAACCCCTACTTCAATTCCTCGGGCCCCTTGTACAAAACTAATTAAGAAGCTGCGGTATCAGGGTTTAAGGATAAAGGGTTTAAGTTTAAGAGTTTAAGCTTAAGAAGTTGATTCAACAAACAAGCTGACAACAAAAAGAACGACCTTCGTAACTCAGCTTGGTTGAGGCTCGAGGCTTCCAGTGCCCTTATTACTGGTTCCTTTAGAGGCCAAGGGTCCGAACTACAACTATACTCCTCTCGGAACCATATTAAAAATACTATTGAAATTCTCTTAGGTTCAACAGGAACAAAAACAAACATGTTTCTTAAGGAGACTACAGATAAGGTCCTTGGAAGCAGAGGGGGGGGGGACCAAAGCCCTAAACCCTATACCCTCATAGAATCCCTATAGATCCCTTTAAAGGGACCCCTACTTATAACCTCCAGGTAGAGGAGGCCGAAGCCCTGAACTCACCAGTGCACATTTGAAGAGGTCGGCGAGGCACTGGCGCCGAAGCTGACGATACTGGGAGACAGGTCCTTCGGGTTTGGGGTTTAGGGTTTAGGGTTTTGGCTTAGGGTATCAGATTAGGGCTTAGGGTTCAGGGTTTAGGGTTTAGGGTTAAGGGTTTGCGGTGTAGGGTTTTGGGTTTCGGTTTAGAGATTAGGGTTCAGGGCTTAGTGTTTCAGGTTTTTCAGGCTTGAGGCTTTGCGGGTTCGGCACGCTTCTACCAGCTCTTTCTCGGCGTCTCTTATAATATAATGCGTTCTTCGTAACACGGGCTTCCGAGCGTCTCCAAGCTTTGAGTTTTGGCTTGAAGGCTGTCAGTGGGGTTTAGGTCGTAAGGCTTTCCAAAACGGGCATTTCAGGTTTGGGGTTTGGGTTTACGAAGATTGCATGTCGTAGGGCCTTGGGGTGGCTTCCGTTCGACATAAACCGCCACCCTAAACCCTAAACCCCAAGCCCTGCCTAAACCCTAAATCCCAAATCAAAAACCCTAAACCCTAAACCCTAAACCCTAAATCAAAAAACCTTAACCCTAAACCAAAGATCCTACACCCTAAGCCCTGCACCCTAAACCACAAACCCTAAACCCTAACACCTTTCTGCGCCATCCTGGCTGGCCAGGTCAGGGAAAAGCTGCAAGGCCAGCTCCCAGTGGGCACCCTTCTCCTCATAGGCAAAGCCATTCTTGCTTAGGATTTTGGAGCTTTAGGGGTTTAGGGTAGCTTAGGTTTGGGGGTTTAGGAGTTTAGGATTTAGGGTAGTTTAAGATTTGTGTTTTTGGCGTCTAGGGGTTAAGGATTTAGGGCTTAGCGTAGTCTATGATATTGGGTGTTATAAGGTTTGGGGCCTATTTAAGCAGAGAGTGTGACTTAATGGTTAATCTATTCACGGAGTTGCAACTACCTGAAACGAGCTTTCTTAGGTATGAGCCTAACCCTAAACCCTAAAGTTTCGCCTGCAAACCCTGGACCCTAAACCCTGAAGCCTAAACCCTTGACCATAAACCCCAAATTTTACTAGACCCAAGAGTAGCCTAGGAATACAAAGGGTGCCCTTTTTGGTTTAAAGGGGCTTATAAGGGGACCTGAACCCCCAAAAAAGGGAATAAGGGCCTACTCTAGGTCCTAGTTTAAATGTAAACTATGAACCTGCAGGGCTTCAGGAGCGGATCCTTGGTTGGGGCACAAATCGCCCTGCTTAACGAAGACCTGCGCCCCAAGTAGCCTACCGTTTTAAGTGTACATAAGGACCTGTATAAGGAAAGCATGATAAGGCTCTACCAAGGTAGGTTCTTTAGGGTTCAGATAGGTTTCAGGGTATACAGCTAAGCATTCTCAGGCGTTAGGCTTATATAGACACGGATCTTCTCGTATTGGTCATCTTCGGGGACTGGTCTCTATGTTCTGGGAATGCAGTACTTGGAAGGGCAGGGGACTTAGCAAGTCGTTTATAAGTAGGGTTATAACTGGGGCAACTCCATTTGCGGTACTTACAACTCTACTTACAACCTACTTACTCAGTCCCCTGCCCCTCCAAGTACTGCATGGGCCTCAATTTTTTTGCACTAGGGTCTGGATCTATCAGGGAGCCCTCAGCAATACGATCAGCAAGCAAAATGAGACCGCAATAACTAGATCAGGGTTTCGTGGCATGTTATACTCTGAAGATGCAAGATGCTAAACCCATACTACAGGGGCCTTGATAATTAGAGTACGTAGGGTTTTTTGGGGCGAGGAGGAGAGTGAAATGTGCAACTACACAGACGCGATCACGGGATCCCTGATCCCTGAACTCTACAAACTTCCACCAAGCTTCAGCGGTGCTCATGCTGCTGTTGAAAGAGGCAGTGGTTGGTGCAACATGCCTTGCAGCTGGCTACTGCCCCCATACAGTAACAGTTGATAACAGGGTTAAGGGCCTCATATAGCTATAAGTAACTATTCTGTATATGAAAATTATTCTCCAGCCTTGCAGCCATATCCCTGAGGAGGTGAACAGCTCGCGGCCAATTCCCACCCCTCTCGCAGGCGCTGATGCTCGAATTGAAGCCTTCTCTGGCAGCAGTCAGAACAGTAGAGGGTTTAGAGTTTAGGGTTTACGGGTTTTGGGTTTAGGGTTTAGATTTTACAGGAAATGCTACAGAACTACTGAGACTAGCAAGGAGAGGAAGGACAAGAAGCTCATCTAAACCCCTAACCCCTAGAAGACAACGGTCCTTCAGATTCTCGTGTTTACGGCGGGGACTTCAGACGAAGGTGCTGATGACATTCGGCTCCAGCGCATCGCAGGGCATGCTCTGTAGAAGCCAGACTCCGACGTTCCACCGAAGTTCCTGGTGGGTTCAGGGTTAGGAGAGAGAAAGAGAGAGAAAGAGGCAGAAAGAGAGAGAGAAAGAGAGAGAAAGAGAGAGAGCGAGAGACTAGGATTTAGAGCTTAGGGTTTCAAGCCAATTATTGGGGTCGCTTGGAGTTTAGAGTTTAGGGCACATCGGCCACTGCAACACGACTACTGAACGCGAAAGACATGGCTCCTTCATAAGGACCTTGCCAGAAACCATCTGATGCACCCAATATAGCATCCTATGCCTTCTCTGAGGGATCGAGCTGTTCCACAAAAATCCGTAAAGGAAGCCTTCAGAACGAATCTAAAAACATCCTTGCGCCCCTGATGAGCAAGGACGTCGTCATTCAGGCTTTTGGAAAGCAACCCGTAATGCAACCGTTACAGATCCCTGAAAGAAGCCTCAAAGCCGTGAGCTAACTCTTAACGGCACCCATACTAAACCCCAAACCCTAAATCCTACGCTAAACTTTAGAAGCTGCCCCCACCCTGTAATAGTGACCATAAGGACTATATAAGGATTATATTCGGGCCCTATTATATTCCTATTATACCACTATTACAGGGTGGGGGCCCCTTCTAAGCTAAACTGCTGTCTGCCTTTCCGCAGGTAGTCACGGCCGAGTTGACGGTAATCACGCTTGCCTCCAGCCTGTTCTGTAAAGGGCTTCACAGACACCCTTCCAGGGTTCCACACGGTTCTGAAATGAGTCTGGATGAGGATGATTTTCGTATCCCAAACAGGATCACATGCGAATTAAACCCATTGATGTGCGTGGGCGTGGGTCGAAAAGGCTTAAACTTTAGTTTAATCCTGTGTAGCATCGATGGGTTTTAAGTTTAAGGTAAATAATTTCTTCCACAGCTAGATGTAGGGATAATCAACTGCGGGCTTTAATCTGATTTTCATCCGCAACGAAGTATAGGGACATTCGACTGGGCCTTCGTTGCCGTTTCTGGAGGCTGTGGTGCTTGTTGTGATGGTGATCCTGGCGGTTGCTCCTGGTCGTTTCGGTCGCCGCCGTGGCCCTGGTCGTCTACCAAAACCACCTTAATGCCCTTGAGCTGTATAGAACCCTTAATTAAAGGACCTGTGCAACCTCAGAAGCCCCAAAACCCTGAGACCGTACACTCGAATTGTCAACCCTCCCCCTGAAACCGAATTCACCCCTAAACCCGAAACCCCTAAACTCTGCACCCCGGGGCCCGAAACCCTAAACCCCCTAAAACCCCCGAACCCGGCTCCCCCCCCCAGGCACCGGCTGAAGGTCAGTGCGCTGAAGACCTGCGCTGGCTGAAGGATTTCAGAGTCTTAGGGCTCGGGGGATGCTTACAGGGTTTTTGTACAAGAGTTCTTTAAGCGTAGGGTTTAAGGTTATTGTTGTTGACCACCGTGGGAATTGGGCGCAAGACACAGCAGCAGCCCTGTCATTTTTGCGCCATGCTGGACTGCAGGACTGCCAGGAATAATGCTACCCCAAAGGGTCCAAAGTACCTTTATGATAGAATGTCGGGTTCCTATATTAGGAATTACTATTATGATTCGGGGAAGTATCCCCCCATAACAGTACCTAGGGACCCTTTGGGTACAACAGCCACAACATCGGGACTTCTGCGTCTACGACCCAGTCGAGCCCTGGCAACGGCTGTTTTGAATTGCAAGACGTGGTCATGCCTTGGGCATGCCTCTCTCCTTGCATATCGAACGGGACTGATGTACAAAAGGATGTGCCGTTGCAGAAGCTTAACTGGGCTCTTAAATAACCAGGGACCATAAAGTATAGACTTTTTTCATAAAGGTTCCTGTAAGACAAAATACGGTACTCCAAAGCCCAGTAACGTTTCTGCTGAACACATGCAGTGTCTGGGCCCAAAGTGCTTGACCTTGGAGACCTAAGAGCTTTCGAAAACCCGAACACTACCCAGAGATCCCAATACCCCAAAATTGAGGAATATGCCTGAAACGAAAAGGGGGCTAACATTCCATTATGATTAAAAGTATATTCCTTACTTAAGGGCTTAAGGGGCATTGGGATCTCAAGGTACACCCTGATGATGCGCCCTAAACTCAAGCCCTATTCAGTCTGACCCCCTTTCAGAGGTGCGATCGCTCCACTTGTGAGGCAACCTATCAGCAAGCTGCGAAATATGTTGCCCCAAAAAGAACGTAACCCAGGGCGCTGCCAGGCTCGCTGCGGCCAGAGCTGCTACCCCAGCATCTCCGATCATGTGACACTTGAAGAGCTCGAATGACATCAATTCCTTGCATTTCAGAGCCGCTGCAGCTAGAGATGCTGCCCCAGCATCTCCGATGTTGTCGCTTCCTATTCGAATCCACAACAGCCCATTGCATTGCGGAACTGCGGCAGCCAGAGATTCTGCCCCGGCATCTCCAATGTTGTCACTTGCAACGTCAATATCGTACAGCTTCTTGCAGCTGGCGAATGCAGCGGCAAGAGCTGCAGCACCGGCATCCCCGATCCCATCCCCCTCCACTTTCAAGCGCTCTAGTTTCTGAGGGCGAAGACGTTCAAGGCCATGTGCCAGTTCCACAATGCTACGCCCGAAGTTGAAGCCCCTGGCAGGTGATCTTATGATGAGTTCAACCAGATTCACGAAATGTGGCAATGCCAACGCCAATATCGACACCTCGTGCTGGGGCAAGGAACATGCTTCAAGTCTTTTGCGTCGCCTGGCATGCTGTAGGAAGACTTCCTCCTGCATCCGACTCACCAGCTTTGCATCAGAGCGGTGTGTAAATTTCAAGGGCAACCCATCTGCAAGTCCCTGCTCACCACGCGCCACCCGCTCCTGAAAAACTGCTGGGGGCATGGGAGAGCAGCCAAACACCTCATCTTTCGTGTTCATCCACTGAACTTCGGCGACACACCACCCCCTTTGGGGGTAAGGTGTCCTGTTCAGGACCAACTCACTTAGGGGCCTCGCCTCAAACTTGCCCGTCGCCTCGCAATACATATCTATACAACCCTCGAGTGACATTTCGCTCTCGGGGGTTAGCTCCTAGAAACGAAACACGCGACGAACGCGCCGATGGGCATACAGCAAATGCATGGACATCATGGCTCGTTGGAAGAACCGCTGCTCATGCGTACTGCGCTTGTACTGATGCAGGCACACGAAATCAATAAATACCCAATATTGAAGATCAAAGGGTTTGAACCTCTCGCGAGGCCCAAAACCAAAATGGCTTTCAATGAGCCGCAAGAGACTTCGCAGCTGCCAGCCCCATGGGTCAGGATGTTGCTGAGACTCCCACACATGCGACACGGATAAGATCATCCTATGACAATACGGGGGTTCAATCAGTTCCATCGGGACGTCAAATAGGTGACAAAGTCTCAAGCAGGGATCCTGCAGTTCCTCCATCGTCACCAATGCCGTGTGCATCGTGCCATCTTCATCCTCGAACTCTTCGCCCTCCGCCTCCTGGCGCCGTGGCCAGACACGGCCGGCCTCCGCAAGCTTGAAAAGGTAGTCTAGCCGCACCGGTCGGATGTTGGCATCGACCAAGAAGTTAAGGAGATGCTTCGGGTCTGTCAAACTGTACTCCTTTGCTTCCTCTTGTCTCGGAGCTGTGTCGCCCTGTGATGGAATGGAAGCCTGGATGTGGTACCGCTCATGCTGCAGTGAAGCCCCGCAGCCCATCGCACCGGAGTCTCGGTGGGTTCAATCTGCAGACGAGAAAATGTATGGCACTGTGGTTCTGATGAACTGTCCTGACCGCCTCTGCTGAGTTCTAGCGACCGAAAGGTTTGAAAACGTCATTCTGTCGACTGTGACTCAGTCCTCAGGCCAAAACGTGCTTGCGAATGTTTTAAGCTCACCAAGTGTGGCGAAAGCATGTCGGAGCAATACTTGAGGTAGCCGTGATTAACTCAGGAGCTGCGTGCGCCCCAACCCATCTTCGCAAGAATATCCTAGAATCCTAAACCTAGGTGGGCAGTACAGCAGTAAGCCTCAACCTTGGACCGTACATACTTGAAACAGTAAGCTCTGAACTATAAGCCTGCCTGAACCCTGAAGAACCCACCATTCGGAGGCTCTTGTAAAACCCTTCAAAAGCAAGGCGTTTCGGTGCAAAGCAAGCCCTACACCCTAAACCCTAAACCCGAACAACCCAGATCTTCCAAAGAGCCTTAACTCAGGAATATACCTTTAGTCATATCGGGGATCCTACCATAATCCTTACCACCCAATGGATTTCGGAACGTCTGGCTACCCTGAACCCGTACGGAGCCTTACAGATTAATTAGATCCCTTGAAGGACCTCGAAACCCTGAACTAAGGGATTTCTGTGGGTCTGGGAAGCTCGCTTCCGTTCTGACTAGAGGCCCGCCAGCCAATCAAGGGTTTAGCGTGCTATAGAACAAAGGTTTGCGGCAACAATTAAAAGGATAAAGGTTTCTTCACAAAGGGCCTTGTAAAGGGCTGCATAAAGGTTCCACAAGAAGTGTTAGGCGCGCGGTCAGCATAGGGGGCGAGGTTAGACTAGAAATTCAGTCCAGGATTTAGTATACCAATGGGCAAGCCTAAACCATAGTATTACTACTTGTTCCGGCCACAATATTGATGACACAAAGGCTCCAAGTGCCTGCATATGCTCGGTTCAAAATACATGGAGTTTCGGGTTTCGGAATCAGGGCTTTAGTGCACGTTGTTCGTGTATTGGCTGCCATGACAAAGTTTAGGGCTTGGGGGTTGGAACACTTCCGGTTGAATTGCTCGGGTTTGAGAGACTTTGGGCTTAGGGTTGAAAGGCATATGGGCTACCGAAACCCGAAGCTTTAGGGTTAACGGCACGTTGGATCTTGCGTTTCGATGCTTCGAGAGGCTCGGCTCGAAAGGCTTTTGAGAATTCAGGGCTCGCTTAGAGGTACGGCTTGGGGTGCAATTTGTGGGCTTAGGGTTTAGGGTTTAGGGCTCAGGGTGTGTGGTGGCGCTGGGGTTTGCCACCCCAAATCCTGAACCCTACAGCTCGGTTGCGGGTTTAGGGCTGTAGGTCCGGTTGCGGTGCTTTTAGGCTTGCGATTTGACTGCTTAAAGATTGGGTTGAGGGCTTCGTTTATGGCCAGGTCTAAAGGCATTGGGCATTAGGGTTACGCAATTTGGGATTTAAAGGCTTGGGATTTAAGATTTCGTTTTCGGGGACGTTCCTCCTGAGAAGCTCGTGAGCAAGGATACCAAGACTTGCCTAGAATTAGGGTTTAGGGACGGCATAGAGCACCGTTCATCTAAGCCCATGATTAACAAAACTCGCTCTTCGAATGCCATCATAGTAGGATGCCTGCTACAATCATTGCTTACATCCAGCCCTAAACCATAACCCTGGACGGACGCTACAAACCCTGAACCCTGGCTCCTCAACACTGTACAGTATAGACCCCGTTTCGCACCCTTCCAGTCCTTCTAGGACCCGCATAGCAAACCCCATACTACAGTTACAGAACCCTTGTAAAGAAATGTTATACTACCCTTATAGAACTATTATGCTACCCTTATAGAGCTATTTTACTAGACACCGTATAGAACAATTAAACTACCCTTATAGAACCATCATAGAAACCTCTTTGGCTTTCGAGGGAGCCGAAGGGCTAAGCAACGCAGCCTCCGCCACCCGATGCCATGGTCCCCCCAGGCTCGGGCCTAAACTAAAAGAGGCTGTGTAAGGATAAGCGTCGGGTTTCGGTGGGATTACTAAAGGATTTTCGGGAAATTCTACTTAAAGGGTTTGGGTGGCATTATGGTGTTTGGAGGCATTCTATGTGGGCCTCAACGATTGAAACAGGGCCTGGTCTTTCTTCGATCATGGGAGGATGCTTCACGATGCTTTAAGCATTCCGGCGAATCGCTCTGAAAGGGTTCTAGAATACGGGCCGTCAACGAAAGGAACAGGGTTTCCCTGCTTTTGGTCGAGTGTTCATAAGTTCTCTGGGTTTTTCGACGGTTTACGAAGCGGACCGCACTAATTAGACTGAGTGGGTTTTCGGTATTCGATACTACAGAGGGACGATACTACTGAGGAACCATTAGGGATACTGTTTCCAATTATTCAGGCGTCCATTGTAGCCGAACTGGTAATGGAAGGTTCATGCGCCATGCGCAGATAAGCTATTTGCAGTTGAAAGGCTTTTGGGGTTCAGGGTGTAGGCTTTAGAACTTGGGGGTTGGCGGTACCGGTAGAACATTTTACAAGGTACGGCTTAAGCGTGCCTCTCCTGCGTTATAAAGGTTCTACAAAAGTTTACCTTGCAGGTTCGGGGTAGTCAGACATAGGAATGTGTGAGGCTTAGGCGGGCTTCGCATGTGGCTTCTACAGGCCTTTGGGAGAGAGGTACTCCTAGAGGACAAGCCTTGAACCAGGGTTTAAGGGTTGAGGGAAAATTCTGTCGAACACTACACCCTAAACCAAACCCCAAACCCTAAACCCAAACCCCATCTGACACTTCCGGAAGCCTTTAAAGGAACCCTTAGAGAATCCCCAAAAGGAAGGGAACCCCCCCAAAGCAGCCTTTTAAACTTTAGTAGAGCCCTGCAGAAGGCAGCCAACAGAATAGCACCTCCGAGGGGCTGATCACCCTGTTGAAAGCCGACTCGGATATCTCCAGCGCCTCGTGTTGGCCGTCGTCCAACTCCTCTTCATCTCACACCCCAGACCCCCGCGAGGATCTAGAAAGTAGATCCCATAATTTGGGGACCTACACTACTAAGGGTGCTTTATAGGAACCCCCATTGAGGGATCTACTTTTTGGATCCTCCCGGGGGTCTGGGACTTGTGGGCAAACGGTTTAGGGCTTTGGGTTTTGGATATAGAGATTTCGGGTTCCACCACCCTAAACCGTAAACCATACACCCAGCGCTCTAAACCCACCATCCTTCCACACCCTCGAGACTGTAAAACCCTCTCTGCTTCCTGCACTGCGTCTCGCCACCGCCCGCGCGACCGTGGCGAGGCTCGGATGTCCATGGCAGCTTTGGCACATGGCAGTTTGTACGATAAGGGTTCCTGTACAGGGCTCAAAGAGGGTTTAGATTATCCGAAAATTAGGGGTACCGTAGTTTGGTAGGATCCACTGTTTAGAGTACTATACTAGGGGCCCCGTATTTTCGGAAAGACCCACATGGCAGCAAGCTCACAAGCTCCGGTGCTGGAGGGTCGAAGGCGCTCTAGGATTTGGGAATTTCCGAAAATAGGGGACCCTAAAAGGGCACCCTAAATAGTAGGATCCTTATTTTATGGGCCCCAAAATAAGGTACCCCCAATTTTCGGAAACTCCCATTTGGGGCTTTAGGACTTAGGGTTTCTGGGTTGAAGGCCTTCCCACAGGACTTTAGGGGTGAGGGTGTAGATCTTCGGGTCTAGGGTTCCCTTATTTGGGGGCTTAGGGGTTTTGGAGCGGCTTGGAGGTGCAGAATTTTCGGGATTAGGGGCTCTACCGAAACCCTGAACCCTAAACCCTTAAACCTTAAACTCAAAACCGTCGAGGGAAGCCAGTACAGTATCTTCCTTGGTTAGCGGTTCTAGGCTGGGTCGGTGTGGAGATCTGTGAACGTATTCAGGGCTTGAGGGTTTTTGTGGTGTAGTCGAGGCCCTACGGTTGATGGACAGAATCCTGCATTACCCATAAGAAGGAATATACCATAATTCCCATAGTTTAGGATCCTTAAGGTCATGCAGGATCGAAATCATCAACCCTAAACCCTAAAAGCCCATAGATCCCTTGAAGGAACCCCTTAAAAGGTACCCTTAAGGATCATGCAGGATTTTGTCCATCAGCCGTACCACTTCATTTTTCTGCAATTCAGGGTCAGGCCGAAGCGATCTGGAGGCTTCCGAAAATGAGGGGTACCATATTTGGGGGGTCCTCATAATAAAGACCCTACTATTTCGGGTACACAAAAAAAGGGGTGCCTGTGTCTTTCATCTTTCGGGCTCAATGGTTTTATAATAAGGGACGAAAAACACCAGGTATAGGGCTTGA